ACCGCAAAAGGTAAGCTAGATAACTGGGATCTTCTAAAAATCAAACACCTATGCTCTTCAAAAGACTTCACCAAAAGAGTAAAAAGAGAACCTACAGACTTGGAAAAAATTTTTGGACAGTATAAGTCAGACAAAGGTCTGATCTCCATAATCTACAAGAAAATCCAACACCTCTGCAACAAAAAGACAAATGATCCTATTAAAAAATGGGCAAAGGAAATAAACAGACACTTCACCAAAGAAGACATTCAAGCGACCAACAGACACTTGAGGAAATTCTCGCGATCACTAGCCGTTAGAAAAATGCAAATTAAAACCACAGTGAGATACCATCTCATCCCGGCATTGCTGGCACATATCAAAAACACTGGAAATAACAAATGTTGGAGAGACTGCGGGGAGATAGAAACTCTTATGCACCGCTGGTGGGAATGCAAAATGATACAACGATTTTGGAAAATGATTTTGCGCTTCTTTAGAAAGCTAGAAATAGAAGTACCATATGATCCAGCAATCCCAGTCCTAGAAATATATCCTAGAGAAATAAGAGCCATCACATGAATAGACATATGCACACCCATGTTTATGGCAGCATTGTTCACAGTAGCAAGAAGATGGAAACAACCTTGATGCCCATCAACACATGAATGGATAAACAAGGTATGGTACATACACACAGTGGAGTACTACAGAATGGTAAAGAGCAATGATGAATTTGTGAAGCATCTCATAACATGGATGAAACTGGAGGACATTATGCTGAGTGAAGTAAGTCAGTCACGAAAGGACAGATATTGTATGAGACCTTTATTTGTAAAAACTCATGAAAAAGTTTACACCCTAAAAGTAACAATCTTTGTTGGTTAGGAGGGATGACAGAGGTGGGGGTGGGAATACTAAATAGACAAAAGGTAATTGGTATCTTGGGTGAAGGGTGAGACAGTACACAATACTGTGGAAACCCCCACAACTTGTTCAAGGAAAGGTCATAGAAGCTGCATAGACACATCCAAACTCCCTGAGGGACTGAGTTGCTTGGCGGAGGGCTGTGGGGACCATGGTCTCGGGGAACATCTAGCTCAATTGGCATAACATAGTTTATAAAGACAATGTTCTACATTCTACCTTGGTGAGTAGTGTCTGAGGTCTTAAAAGCCTGTGAGCAGCCATCTAAGATACTCCACTGGTCTCGTCCCTTTGGGAGCAAGGGAGAATGAAGAAAACAGGATACAAGGAAAAGATTAATCCAAAGGACTAAAGGACCACAGTTACCAAGGCCTCCACCGGACTGAGTCCAGTACAGCTAGATGGTGCCTGGCTACCACCACTGACTGCTCTGACCAGGATCACAGCAGAGGTTCCTGGACAGAGCTGGAGAAGGATGTAGAACAAAATTCTAACACACACAGAAAAAGACCAGATTTACTAGCCTGACACAGACTGGAGAAACCCTGAGAGTATGGCCCCCAGACACTCTTTTAGCTCAGTGGTGAAGTCACTGCCGAGGTTCACTGTTCAGCCGGTGATTGGACAGCCTCATAAAACAAAATGGGACTAATAAGGCACAGCAGTCCAGGGACATGGACTGGAAGGCAGAAGGGGACAGGAAAGCTGGTGATAGGGAACCCAAAGTTGAGAAGGGACAGTGTTGACATGTAGTGGGGTTGTTAACCATTGTCATAGGACAACTTGTGTACTAACTGTTTAATGAGAAACTATTTTGTTCTATAAACCATCATCTAAAGTGAGAATAGCAGCACAACTGGAAGAACGCAATCGATGTCACTGAATTGTGTATGTAGAAATTTTTGAAATGGTGTGCCTTTGGCTATGTATATTTTCACCAAAAAAAAAAAAAAAGTAGAGAAGGAGAGGATTGTCATGTCATGGGGTTGTTAACCAATGTCATAAAACGATATTTGTACTGACTGTTTAATGAGAAACTATTTGTTCTGTAAACCTTCACCTAAAGTACAATAAAAAATAAATAAGTAGTACTCACCTTAAAAAAAAAAAAAAATAGCCGGGAGATAGAGGACGTGGGTTTGGAGATGAAGGTGATGGTAGCATGCTTTGGGAATTTCCCACAATTAGGTATGGATTTTAAGAAGTCAGTCTGAAGAACACAGTAAGTTGAGGGTGAAGCTGAAGAATAAAGTGGTACAGGCTGTCTGCAGCCTTGTAGAGCATATTAGAGAGTTTGCCTCCGCATCTCTAGAAAGTATGCCTTGTGCCTTTTTGTTTCATTTTCTTTTTCTAGAAAATCTTAGTCTCTCTTTTCAGGCAAACCCAAAACTTATACTTTATCCCTCCTCCCAAGTCCTTTCTTACTCACAAAAATTTCCCAAAGTATGTCAGCATTTTTGTATCTGAAAACATAATTCTTTACATCTTTACTGTTCATTTGTCAGTTGATTCTATATGTTTGAGTACCTTTTTATAGTTATACATTTTTTATCACCCCATAAATAGGTTGTGTATCACTTCAGTCGTGGATGGCTAAATTCATACTAATTAATCGATCACTATTTGAAAATTGATAGTTTTGAGCAGATAAAAATAGAGTTGCGTGTCTATAAGTTACCTATGAATCAACAATTTTAAAATTCCTAAGAATCTTTTCTTGGGGTTAAAAAAAGCCGCGCCTGAAGTTAAGTATGAGAGGTCATTTCAAAGAAAAAGAAACTGGTAAATACCAAACTTATATTGATTATTGAAGAATTCAGAGATTTGGAAGTATTTCTGAAAAGGTAGAAAATTAAGTAGAAATCATATTTCTATAGAACTTGATCAGATTTTTTCAAATTTAATTAATGGTGAATTTAACTTTAATCCTGATATGTTAACATGATCATTATATTGGAGAGAATACTTTTTTCACCACATTATTTTAAGTATTTAGATTTCACATACATAATAAATTCTTGTCTTAATTTGAGAACCACCTGGAATCACGTGTAAAATGAATGCAGTAATTTTTAAATTGCTGCATCTGTGACTTCTGGTTAAAAGACTGTGTTTTTGATTCCCATGAAATATATTATCTTGTATTTTTTCTCTTATTCCACATGCATATTATTGGCTGAAACTAAAGAGCATTGTAAAATCTAAAAACTAAAGAGAATTGTTATATCAGCAGTGTAAGAACAATGGAAAAAATCAATTTAACAGTACATCTGTGTTACCCTTCTGCTGAATTGCATAGGAAATTTGAGTCCAGGAGTGTATCCAAGCTGGGAATTAAGAGTGGGTAGCATAGTTAGGAGGCTGAAAAGATGTGAAGCTGAAGAGACCTTGCAAAATCTAAAGCTAAGAGCAGGTAGTCAATGTAGAAAAGGAAGAATAAGCATACTTTTTGCTGGGTAAGAGTTTTCCAGAGTATTTTGTGTCTGTTCTATTTCCTAAGGAAGGATTATTCAGCCATAGAGTAAAGTACACCAAAAAGGGGGTAGTAGTGTAGAGGATAATTTTATTAATGATAGCTAGAGCTGATTGGACCTTTCAGTAGAAACAAATTCCTTGCCTGAGGTGAGTTCAAGTTACAAGCTTTATGATAATGATAAATGATTTGTAATAATTATTGCAATAATATCTTTATTTTTATTTCTTACTAAAATTGTACTGTATGTCTCCTCCCACCCCCCACCCCCCAACTCCCTTCTTCTCCTATACTTCCAGAGGCTCTCCCTATAGAGAATCTCCTTTGGGTCATTTTGAAAGCTATGGAGGAACCCCGTTTTTCCAGGCTCAGAAGATGTTTGTAGATGTACCAGAAAATACTGTGATACTGGATGAAATGACCCTCCGACACATGGTCCAGGATTGCACTGCTGTGAAAACTCAGTTACTGAAACTGAAACGTCTGTTGCATCAGGTGAGTTGATAGTGAATATTTCCAGCTCTGATAGTTTGAATTGCAAAGTGGATTGACTTGACTTTTTTTTTTAAATAAACTTGCCTGGTTTCCTAATGCATATTTAGATCTCTAGGAGTCCCTGGGTGGTGCGAATGGTTAAGCACTCGACTGTTAACTGAAAGGTTGGCGGTTTGAACCCACCCGGAGGCACCTTGAAAGGCAGGCCTGGTGATCTGCTAGGAAAACCCTATGGTGCAGTTCTACTCTGCAGCACGTGGGGTTGCCATGGGTTGGAATTGACTCAATGGCCACTGGTTTTGGTATCATTTAGATCTCTGCAGAAATAATGCATGTAAATAGTACATAATATGAACTTTTGTAGGAGGATGAAACATGAGATTTTGCATCAGGTCTCAGTACAGTCCCGAGCATTTATGCCTGCGTGAGCTTTGGTAAGCTAGTTGCTCTCCTTCTGTTTACTCAGTTTTATAGAACCTACATCGCAAGGTTGTTGAGAATTAGAAATAGTAGGTGTAAATCATGCAGTCTAATACCTGAACATTCCATAATCAATGGCTGCTACTGTAATTTCAGCTAAGTGGGAAATAAGAAACCTTAGCAGTGTTTATTTGCACACACCCGTTGCCATGGAGTTGATGCCGACTCATAGTGACCCTTGCATATAGTAGTCATGCAATTTACTAGTAAATTCACCTTTGCTGGTCACATAATTTAATTTTTGGTTGGAACATTCCAGTTTAATCTACCCTAGTCCTCTCATTTTTTACTTGAGAAAATATAGACTCATGGCAGTGGTGTGATTGACTAAGTCAAAGTGAGCTGATGGTAGGACCTGGCTTCTGATTTCAATAGAACTTCCTTTGCCTCAAGCATTTAGCACATAGAGATAAGATCAGATGCAAAACAGAAAATCAAGGAATAAAATACTAATTAAGTCTTGGATACTTTTTGCTTGTTTTTTTGATAATCTATATTTGTATTTTGTAGACTAGCCACATTTAGCTTAAAACTGTGATTGAGAAAGAACAGTCTGGCTTCTTCCTGCTGTTCATCTTACTCTCTGGCCACCTTTCTCAGGGTTGTGTTTATTAACTTCTTATGAGTAAGGACCAAGTCTTAGAATTCCTGGAGGCCATCAAAACAGAATCCAGGGTATATGCTCAGTAAATGCTTCTTGAAGTGAAATATGGCTCTGGAGTTAGTAATGACAGTTAGTGTAAATACTCTGTTAAAGTTATGTAAATTGTTTTGTATTACTCAGTTATAGATTATCTGGACTACTGTCTATTCTTGTGAATATACTTTTTGAAAGGAACTATTTTTGAAAGGAAAATTTTCCATGCTAACTTGGGAGCAAGAAATGGGAGAATCTTTTTAGGATTTGGTATTCTTAGACTCTCCTTTTATATAGAAAGAGATTCCATAATTGATATGTTCAAACATAGAGCTTACAGTGTAGTTTCACTATAGCTAGGAGGTAGGCTCCGATCTATAGTATTTCTCTGCTTGCTGGTCTACGGAGAAGATTTTCTTATCAGGAGCTTCAGAGTCAAAGGAAAGGGGAAAGGAAAAGGTGAAAAATAACTAACATGTGAAATATGTACCCTGAGCCAGTCATTGTACTAGTTGTACCACGTACCTTCCATTGTGTCTGGATTTACTGCCCTAAATCATGAAACATCTTAAATATGAGCTATTCAGATCAGACCACCTTTAAGAATGAGAGAAGGAGCGTGATTCTGGAGGGAGGAGGGGAATGGGTAACCAATGATTAATACCATAAAGATTGAAGAATGTTTTTTGAGGTACTTATGTAATATTGTGAATCTCTGAATATCTCCTTTCAGTCATTATGACCTCTGGAATTTTACACAGTATACACTGATCAGATTGACTTTACTGTTTGTTATGCAGTGAAAACAAAATTAAGAGAAGACAATTTCAGAATCTTTTTAGAACATGTTTAAAGTTTCCCAAAATGCTAATAGAAAAGCTGAGTGAGTCTTAAGATTTCATGTAACTGTCCCTTTTTAATCTTTTCTCTTTTAATATTATTAAATTAAACAAATAAATGTGATACATACCATGGTTTAAAGAAAAATCACATAGTACCTAAAGGCTTAATGAAAAAATAGTACTTCTGCCCACCTTCCTGCCCTAGTCAGTCTGGTCTACTCTAAACAGGTTACTGTCCAAAGCTTCTGTAGAGTTGTCATAGTGGGACTTCCTTTTGCCACATTCATGGATTGGATCCACTATTTCCTAGATGGCATATGTTCTTTTTCTAAGTTTACACTCTCATTTTGCTGGAGTATATCCTTAATTTACTTTCTAAAACAGGATGAATGAATGGTAACTTTTTTTTTTTTTTTTACTACACTAATGAAAATCTATTTTCCTCTCACATTTGATTGATGTTAATATTTTGGCTGGTATGGAATACTGGCATGGAAGTGAGTTTTCCCTTAGAAACTTGAAGGCATTGCTCTTCTGGGATCGAATTTTAACTACTGGAAAGTCTAGTACATTCTGATCCATTTTTTATCTTAATGGAAGATTTTTAAAATTATACTGTATTACTCTGTGACTTCTTTCTTTCAACATTATCTCTGGGATTCCTTCATATTTGTATGTTTAGTTCTACTCATTAATTTTCATTTCTGTGTTATTCCATTGTATAAACAAACTATAATCTTTTTGTCCATTTACTCTTGATGTACGTTTGGTTTATTTCAGGTTTTTTATGGTATAACAGATAATACTGTTAACATTTTCCTGCTACATGTGCAAAAGTTCCTTTGGAACTTTGGGAGTGTTCTACTCTAGAAATACCAGTCTCTTTTCCAAAGCTGTTTAATCTATTTTCACACCCTTGTGTAGTAGATGTTGTTTCCCATTGCTCCACATCTTTTTAACACTTGGTATCATCTAACTTCGTAATTTTTCTCACGTAATAGGAATATGTTGTTGTTGTTAGGTGCCGTCGAGTTGGTTCTGACTCATAGCGACCCTATGTACAACAAAACAGAACACTGCCCAGTCCCGCGCCATCCTCACAATCATTGTTATGCTTGAGCCCGTTGTTGCAGCCACTGTGTCAGTCCATCTCATTGAGGGTCTTCCTCTATTTTGCTGACCCTCTACTTTACTAAGCATGATGTCCTTTTCCAGGGACTGGTCCCTCCTGATAACATGTTCAAAGTATGTGAGATGAATCTCACCATCCTCACTTCTAAGACAGATTTGTTTGTTCTTCTGGCAGTCCATAGTATATTCAGTATTCTTCGTCAACAGTGTAATTCAGAGGAATATAGTGATATTTAGTTGTGGTTTTAATTTACATTTTCTTGACCATTAATGAAGTTAAGCCTCTTTGTATGTTATGGAACATTTTTATGTCATGTCTTTTGTTCATTTTGTGTATGTGTATGTTTGTTAGAGTTTTTTTTTTTTTCTTTTCCCTAGATATAAGTACTTTGTTGGTTATATATGTTGCAAATGTCTTCTTCTAATCTGTGGCCTTTTTCACTCTCTGGTATCCTTTAATGAACAAAAGTTCTTTTTATAATGTAGTTGAATTTATCAAAATTTTACTTTATGGGTTGTGCTTTTAGTATCTTGTTTAGGAAATTCTTCCTTGTCTTGAAGTAGTTTTCCTTTCTAAAAACAGTAAGAGTTTTGACCTTCACAATTAAATTTAAAATATCTTGGAATTGATTTTGGTGTATGTAAGACATGAAGTGGAGATCACTTTCAGTAGAAAATTATACAATCTGACTGTAACTTTTATAGTAAGACTTGATAGTACATCATCATGACTTTCATGTCGGTCTTCAAAAGTATCTTAACTCCTCTTTGTCTTTTGATTTTTCATAAAATGTTAGAATCATTTTGTTGAGTCCTATGTAAAACCCTTTTGGGATTTTGATGGGAATAGCAATGAATGAGTAGATCAGTTTGGGGAAAATTGACATCTTAAAAAATTTAGACTTCTTAATCAAGAACATAAGGAGCCCTGGTGGTGCAATGGTTAAGTATTTGGCTGCTAACCTAAAGGTTAGTGGTTTGAACCCACCCAGCAGCTCTTTGGGAGAAAGACCCTGGTGATCTGCTCCCGTAAAGATTACAGGCTAGAAAACCCTATGGGACAGTTCTACTCTGTCACATGGGGTTGCTGTGAGTTGAAAATTGACTTGACAGCACCTAACAACAACAATCAAGAACATGGTATATAGGTTCATTGTTTGGTTTTCTGTAATTTTTTCTCTAAAGTTTTATATATTTTTCTATAATGGGCTTGTACAATTTTTTTAAAAGTTTATTTCTAGTACTTCAAGTTATTGTTGCTGTTGTAAATGCTACCATTTTCTAATGGATCGTTACAGGTAACAGAAATGCAGTCAACTTTTGTTTATTGAGTTTATATCCAGCAACCTTGTTACAACCACAGTATAATCATCAATATCGGGAAACCAACACTGATGCATACCCTGAGACCCAGTTCAGATTTTCACAGCTGCCTTTTAGTATAACCTTCTGTGTTCTTCAGAGCACCCTTGGGCTTGAACTCCTTCAGGCTCAGTTGCATATGGACTCAGTTCTTTTGGGAAGAGATTAGGAGCTGTCTCTTTTAGGACCCACTTCTTCCCCCAGGCAAAATCCCTGTGCCTAGAACAGAGGCAGTCTTTTTTTTTAGTGATACCTCTAGGAACTGAGTGCTTGATGGCAGGCAGGGAGGGTAGCATCCTCTCAGCTGCCTCTCCTGGCATGGAATCATTGCATCAAGATGTGGCATGAATGTTGCAGATAGAGCCTCTGTTCCAAGAGTGGGGACTGTGTGGGAGAAAGGAGTTCCCACCTTTTGAATACGCCCATCTGAGACGTAGCCCTAGCAACAAGTAGCTGGGGAAAGGATGAGAAATGCCGAAGTCTTGCCCCTCCCTGGAAGAAGAACCTCCAACTGGAAGCTGGGAAGAGAGGGAACCCTGTGTTTTTGG